TACATATATTTCCTACTTACATTAGAAAAACGGGAAAAAATGCAGATATACATAAGCTAATCGATTGTCAGCATTATTACTGCTCAAGGATCATGTTAGAATACCACTTCAATGGCATGTTGAGTTAATATGTACAAAGAATATACTGTAATATATGGTAATTGGGTACTACGCGCAAATAAAAAACACGTATAAGCAGGAGGAACTTGCCAGTGGCTTAGAAACCAACTTTGTCGCCTCGCTGCCTATACAATATATTAATATATTTTATGCTATATTTTTTAAAATTTATTTCCGTATTTTCATGCAGGCTCAGAAACCGCGTATGTCATTTCCAGCTGCTTAAACAATCTATTAATAAGTTTTGATTTATGTCATGATTATAATAATGGCACAGAAGCCCTAATACAATAGATTGCTTTAAGTTGATACAAATTAAATGTTAAAACCAATCCCATAAATTGACATAAATAAAATGTGAAAACCAGTCTCATAAAAAAAATGTGTAAGATTGAGGCACATCAAGTGTATTTGAAAACATTATAAAATACAAAAATAATTTTAATTCTGGTTTTAATTGTTTTGTAACCATATGTATGTGCGTTTATGCCATCATCGTTTTGTATTCCGTAGAGATAATTTTGTTTGAATGATTTTATATACCGCCATGTTAAGATTTTCGCTTTGATAGGATACATTATACGATTAAATTATGTCTTCTGGAAGAATATTTTCTTTATAATTCATGACAGATTTCACTTTCATTTTTGCATTACCTTTGCTTTATTAGTTTGTTTGGATCCGGTAAGGTTTTGAGTTAATTCTTGGCCATAAACTTACGTGCTCGTCCTAAATGTTTCCATTCTTCTTATCCTTAAATTTACCACATTTTTTTTTATTTCAAATATTCAAGGTATCCGTTTAATTGACAGCTTATTTGATAGCATCAATGACGTTATCAGTTTTATTAACAATACCAATAACAATCAGTATCGGTACAGCAAAGTTTAATATTTTGTCCATAAATGTTTTGAAAAATTATTGAAACAAAAACCTCACGTAAGCTATTTACTCAAATCTATTATGCACTTTTTTATATAGACTGATTGATTTAAATGTAAATTTGTATTTGCGCGATGCATTCCTACAACATCCTCGTTAAAGATTTTACTTGCGATAACTCTAGGATCAACAATCATCTTTTAATTTGTATCAGTTTCACTTGTTCTGAACGTCAATATTAATTCATGTTCTAAAACTTTCCATTGAGGATTCATAAACAAAATTATTCATTATTTAAAACCAATCCTTTACAAGTTATGAATATAACTGTAAATTTCTGTAATGTAAAGGCATTTTGTCTTAGGCATAAGGTTGAGAATTTTAAAACAAAATACAGTTAAATGGGTTGATAATAATTTTGTTGTTATCATCTTTTGGTGAGGACATTAGCAAACGTACTTTGCTGGCGGTTGCCAATGCAAAAAATTATGAGTCACGCAACTCCTTGGGTTGTGATAATCTAACTCGCATTCAAATAGGTAACTTTCTTCACAAATGGATGAAATGTATACAATATTAACTCTTGTGAATGTTTACGATGTTTCTCCCTATATAATCTTGGACACTGGTAATGACTGCATCAGACACTGGTAATGACTGCATCAGACACTGGTAGTGACTGCATCAGACACTGGTAATGACTACATCAGACACTGGTAATGACTGCATCAGACACTGGTAGTGGCTGCATCAGACACTGGTAATGACTGCATCAGACACTGGTAGTGACTGCGTCAGACACTGGTAATGACTGCATCAGACACTGGTAATGACTTCATCAGATACTGGTAATGACTGCATCAGACACTGGTAGTGGCTGCATCAGACACTGGTAATGACTGCATCAGACACTGGTAATGACTGCATCAGACACTGGTAATGACTGCATCAGACACTGGTAATGACTGCATCAGACTCTGGTAGTGGCTGCATCAGACACTGGTAATGATTACATCAGACACTGGTAATGACTGCATCAGACACTGGTAGTGACTGCATCAGACACTGGTAATGACTACATCAGACACTGGTAATGACTGCATCAGACACTGGTAGTGGCTGCATCAGACACTGGTAATGACTGCATCAGACACTGGTAATGACTGCATCAGACACTGGTAATGACTGCATCAGACACTGGTAATGACTGCATCAGATACTGGTAATGATTGCATCAGACACTGGTAGTGGCTGCATCAGATGCTGGTAATGACTACATCAGACACTGGTAATGACTGCATCAGATACTGGTAATGACTACATCAGACACTGGTAATGACTGCATCAGACACTGGTAATGACTGCATCAGACACTGGTAGTGGCTGCATCAGACACTGGTAATGACTGCATCAGACACTGGTAATGACTTCATCAGACACTGGTAATGACTGCATCAGACACTGGTAATGACTGCATCAGACACTGGTAATGACTACATCAGACACTGGTAATGACTGCATCAGACACTGGTAATGACTACATCAGACACTGGTAATGACTTCATCAGACACTGGTAATGACTGCATCAGATGCTGGTAATGACTACAATAGATGCTGGTAATGACTACATCAGACACTGGTAATGACTGCATCAGACACTGGTAGTGACTGCACCAGACACTGGTAATGACTACATCAGACACTGGTAAGGACTGCATCAGATGCTGGAAATTACTACAATAGATGCTGGTAATGATTGCATGAGACGCTGGTAATGATTGTATCAGACACTGATAATGACTGCATCAGACACTGGTAATGACTTCATCAGACACTGGTAATGACTGCATCAGATGCTGGTAATGACTGCATCAGACACTGGTAATGAATACATCAGACACTGGTAATGACTGCATCAGACACTGGTAATGAATACATCAGACACTGGTAATGACTGCATCAGACACTGGTAATGACTGCATCATACACTGGTAATGACTACATCAGACACTGGTAATGACTGCATCAGACACTGGTAATGACTACATCAGACACTGGTAATGACTACATCAGACACTGGTAATGAATACATCAGACACTGGTAATGACTGCATCAGACACTGGTAATGAATACATCAGACACTGGTAATGACTGCATCAGACATTGGTAATGAATACATCAGACACTGGTAATGATTGTATCAGACACTGATAATGACTGCATCAGACACTGGTAATGACTGCATCAGACACTGCTAATTACTATATCAGACACTGGTAATGACTGCATCAGACACTGGTAATGACTACATCAGACACTGGTAATGACTGCATCAGACACTGGTAATGACTTCATCAGACACTGGTAATGACTACATCAGACACTGGTAATGACTGCATCAGACACTGGTAATGACTACATCAGACACTGGTAATGACTGCATCAGACACTGGTAGTGACTGCATCAGACACTGGTAATGACTACATCAGACACTGGTAATGACTTCATCAGACACTGGTAATGACTGCATCAGACACTGGTAATGACTGTATCAGACACTGGTAATGACTACATCAGACACTGGTAATGACTTCATCAGACACTGGTACTGACTGCATCAGATGCTGGTAATGACTACAATAGATGCTGGTAATGATTGCATGAAACGCTGGTAATGATTGTATCAGACACTGATAATGACTGCATCAGACACTGGTAATGACTTCATCAGACACTGGTAATGACTGCATCCGATGCTGGAATGATTGCATCAGACACTGGTAATGACTACGGATGAATAATAGCGAGTTTGCATCCAGATAAAAAGACAATGGTTTTTCATTATCAATGTTGGAATTAATACCAAGGGGTTATTTGACTTTGCGAATTTTAGTCTGAACATTGATATATAACCATAAATATTTGTATATGAATATATGTATATCAATATATGTAAATAATTCTAATTTGCCCTTTATTTTTTTAAGGCATATGCCGACCTATTCCAACGCAACTTCAATAGTGACTTGGATCCAGTTTATAATCTTGCAACGAAATATTTCTAATGTTTTATTAAAGCAACTAGTCGTCTGTTTTCTTTTAATACAGATCATGATACCAGCCAAAATTTTGAATATTAGATAATTTGTATACGTTTAGTGTGCGTTGACACTCAGCGTTTGTAATATCTTTGTTTGTAATGCATACTTTTTTTTCGTTTAATAGCAACTATGTTTCATCTTATACAATGTAAGCACAGGGATACGCACCTTTTTGGGGTTAATATTTCAAAAGTATTTGGTTATTAAAATTAAACGTGTTATTTTAAAATCATCTTTTTTAAGAAGTGGGACAAACGTTTAAAATAAAAATTGGAGACAAACTATCACTCTTAATTGACTAACTAATAAAAACCAAATATATTTTCCCATTGTGTTAGCTAATCAAGAAAGTATACCTTTAAATTTGCTTTTGCCAACATTTTCGATGGATAAATAAAGATCACATTCGTTAAGATCATGAAAAATAACTGGATGTTTTGTTTTACTTTCATCGCACATTATTTGTGGACATGTGTTGAAAGTTTCCTGTGATATGATACTGTAGATATGCTGAATCATCCAAGACATGTTCACAAATATAACAAAGGTTGTATTGTCAAAATGTTTAAAAATTTTCACCTTGAAATATGGGTTTCCCTTGTTATCTAAAGACACTGTAAATTTTTGTTGTTGATGTAATCGGTTGAGTATGCACATTCATCACATAGACGACCCACATATGTCTTTGATTAGTCTCTACGAATTACGTCAAGACTTGTTTTGAATTGTATTGTGGTCGAAAATAATCCTAAAGATATAATCTCGAAAATGTGTCCATGTTAAGCACATTTAAGGAGATGTTCCGTATGTGGACCTGAACAGTATCTTTATATAGCTATATATCTCAATGGATTTGACGAATTTTGTTGCAGCATTTCCTTCTTTTTGGAGACCGCCCCGGTGGCCTAGTGGTTGGAGTGTCCGCTTCAGATGCAGGAAATCGTGGGTTCTATCCCCAGCTGAGTCATACCAAAGATGGTACTAACAGTTGCCTCGCTTGGCGCTCAGCATTAAGAGGTTAGTGTTAGGACTGGTCGGCCTGGTGTCAGGATAATGTGACTGGGTGGGACATCATTCTACATGTCTGCGGCATGATGCCCCAGTGCTAGACATCACTGTAAACTGCCTCACTGCAGACATCGCAGCGATAAAACTGAATTTTTTTTAAAGCTACTTTAAAAATCTAAATCACACACATACACACACACACCTTCTTAGGTGGCGCTCACCAGTTATTATGCACTTTTGAGAGAGTGATGTATGTAAGGTGAAGTTGTTTGCATTTTAAACATGCATAGTGGAGAGAATGTTGGCATACCTATATACTACTTTCATGTAATGTGGCTGAAATTTCTTTGGATATTGTATACTTGGAAATTTTAAATGATCTTAGAACACTGCTAACTAAATGACTGCTCCCTTGTGCTCCAAAAATCAGCCTGAAATTGTCTAAAGTACACTATTCTTGGTAGCTATTAAAATATGGAAAATGAATTTTGCCAAACTAGACAATACCAGCTTCTAAAAGTGCAATGAATGAATTACCAAATACATAAAATTTTAAAAAAAAGTTATCGGCTCTATTTTTTACAATTTACCTCTGAAGTTTGAGAAGTGAAAATGAGCAAGTAGAGCTAGCACTTTTTGAAAGGTGCACATCTGGAGTAAGGCCAAGCTATATACTCTCTAACCCATATTACACTCATCAATCATACATCGAAATAAAGGGAATTAAAGGTTCTTTGAACAATACCTAAGGTATACAAAGTCTCTTTTAAATAGCCAGTACAACTAGTGAGGAAACCCGGGGAAACTCTTTTTCTTTAAAATTCTAACCCTATGCTAAATACGAAACTGTAGAGCGCCACCTTAAAAACAAATATAAACATTTATGCAATTATTTTTCTTATTTTCATATTATTATATATGTTGTTCTAAGAAAAATGGTACATTAGCATTGATTTTATTCTTGAAAATAAGCTAATTATGCTTATTTTTGCTCTAGCATACATAATTTGCCATGAGGCATGTCTGGGTGAGTAGTGACCTTCATTATGGGAAAATTAGAAGTCTTAGAATATAGGAATAAAGTCAACTTAAATGAAAGCAGTTTCATTAGGCTAAAGAAATACATAGTGAAAATGTTTCTTTTCATTTATTTGCAATGAAATTAAAAAATAAATGATAACAAAGCAAATTTGCGTTCTTTCATATCAAAAAATTAGTTAATATTTTACCCTTTGACCTTTGACCTTTCTGAACCTCACCTATTATGTCCCTTTTCTAACTGTAAAATTTATTACCAACATCTCAGGAATAACTATGGCTTGTTTCATGTTCCTGTTCATTAGCATAACACTGGCTTCTATGTTGACAAAATCTATGCACACTTTGAAAATTGTTCACTTTTTATCATACGATGGGGGTGGGCTGTACCTGTTTAAGGCACTGACTCTAATCAATGCTATTCTGAAGGGGGAAATACAAGACAATAATTATAATGGACTGTTTTGATGCTTGTGACTTAAATATTTCAGCCATACAATCAAAATTAAATCATACAATAATAATACCTATATACTCTTTATGGTGGCGCTCACCAGTTATTATGCACTTTTGAGAGAGTGATGTAGGTAAGGTGAAGTTGTTTGCATTTTAAACATGCATAGTGGAGAGAATGTTGGCATATCTATATACTACTTTCATGTAATGTGGCTGAAATTTCTTTGGATATTGTATTTTTGGAAATTTTAAATGATCTTAGGACACTGCTAACTAAATGACTGCTCCCTTGTGCTCCAAAATTCAACCTGAATTTGTCTAAAGTACACTATTCTTGGCTGCTATTAAAATATGGAAAAGGAATTTTGCCAAACTAGACAATACCAGCATCTAAAAGTGCAATGAATGAATTACCAAATGCATAAAATGTAAAAAAAGTTATCAGCCCTATGTTTTTTACAATTTACCTCAGAAGTTTGAGGAGTGAAAATGAGCAAGTAAAGCTAGAACTTTTTTTGAAAGGTGCACATTTGAAGTAAGGCCAAGCTATGTACTCTCTAACCCATATTACACTCATCAATCATACATCAAAATAAAGGGAATTAAAGGTTTTTTGAACAATACCTAAGATATACAAAGTCTCTTTTAAATAGCCAGTATAACTAGTGAGGAAACCCGGGGAAACTCTTTTTCTTTAAAATTCTAACCCTATGCTAGATACGAAACTGTAGAGCGCCACCTTAAGGAAAAGATTCATAATTGCAAACTGTCAATGAGGGAATGAGATGAAAATGTTTTAAAGAAGGGTTTACGTCACTGAAAATTTAATATAATCGGTCATCTCTTTGTATACAGTTTTATACAGCTGGTGGCAGCGGCGATTTTATGGTTATGTGAGTCCGTGCAAAATGAGGACAATGGTCCCTCAAAATCTAATTTCTATTTCACTGAAGAAATTCTGTATAAAAAGCATACAAAAATACAGGCTTGTCTTCAAAATCAAGTTAATTTTTTAACTGCTTTAATTATAGTCTTTTTTCAACAAATTCCAACGTTTTCGCCCTCATCCTCACCCCCAGGTTTGCAGGCCCGACATCTCGCTAAGACTGTTACCACCGGTGCTTATTTGCACATTTCTCTGCTTGATGTAAACTAATTGTTTTGTCTCAATATATAGGGGTCAACGTTGACTATTAGATATGAATGCCTCCAAGCGCGTACAAATCTGAATCATTTTTGATCGGCAAAAAACTAGTGACCAATTCCTTACTGAATCGAGAACATAATAAGTAACCAACTTGATCAAAATGCTTGAATCGGGATTAAGTAACTGGTTACTTAATCCTTATGAATCGGAAACTGCTTTTTTATGTTCTTAGTGAATCGGGAAGAAGGAATAAGGAATAAGCAACCAACTTGATTTCAAACTAGTTTGTTTTGTCCCCTGGCGCTAAGTACCTTTGCTACGCCACTGGCCTAACGCAAAGATGTATTCCTTCAAATTACAAAACACGTATACCTAAAAAAATATCCGGGGAATTCTAAATGCTAAGTGATTAAGGAGATCCATTTCACAAAACTAATCGATGCTATCAAAAAGTTCTGGGAGTACAGTAAATTATGACGCACATGTTTTGACTACTACATGTCCCTTCTCCTACCCACCAAAAAAAAATTGCGGAAGCACCCGTGTCTGTTCCAAGAATTTTTTTAAATTTAATTACTCGGTTTGAGAAATATCTTTTCAACATCGATCTCCCATAAACAAATACAGCAATAAACTGACATTCATGTAAATACAAATAACACTTGCCCTTGGTTTATTGAAGTCCTATCTTGTGTATTTAAGATTTGTTCTCCTTACGACCTGTCTTGCATAATTTACATAAGCTTTGGTTTCATACGTATAAAAACATAATGTGAATATATATATATATATATATATATATATATATATATATATATATATATATATATATATATATATATATATATATATATATATATATATATCGGGAGATTGTTCATGTAAGGACTGGAGAAGGATTGTGGCAGCTTGATGGGTACAATATTTCTACACCTAAATTAAGATTCCCGCCAAATATCACCAATGCATTAATGGAATAGACGAAATACATTTGTACGAGCAATTCAAGTCTAAAGTTGTACATCTTTAAAAAATCTAGTCTCTAAAATTCAAATCATTCACACTTAATTGCTGCTTATTTAACAATATTTTTACTTTGGTTCAAAGGTCAAATTTAAACTGTCTGCGTTGGTTCGAGTATAGGATTCGGCGAATGTGGATATGTGAGTAAGCTTGCCAGCAGTAGCTTCTCGTGGGTCGGTGGTTCTTTCCGGTGATTTCCTAGTTTCTTCCTCCACCATTAATACTGGCCGCCATGAATAGCCTATCGTGTGCTGGAAAATGGCATTCAGCCCAACAACAACAACAAAACAACAACAATAACAACAACAACATCGAATTTAAATTGATAGTATTTTCTCAGTCTCAGATAAAGAGTATTTCATTGCTTTTCCATTTACACGTGTCATTTTGTTAAATTTCTTAATATAGTAATAAACTGCTAACACAACCGACACCGAAATTTTGATTTTGGGCCGCCGCCCCTCTCCCCTCCCGCTGCGCGGGGCGCGATGAGTGTGCCTCTCGTGCCTATGTTTTAAAAAGGGTCTGAATAATAATAAATTTGTGCTGCTTTTTATGTTTTATTGTGATATTACGTTTGGCTTTGTAATACTTCCAATCTGTTTGATTTGTAAATATAAAACATGTTTCTAGCTGTTCTTATCGTTGAAATATGTAGCATTTGTTTAATGTTACGTCAGCAATAGAGCTCGCCACGAGCCAGTGTTTTGTGATAAAAAGACTACCGATGTTAAATAATTTTTCCTGTATCTTGTATTCCCCCACCCCCTCTGCTCTTTGAAATTCATATAACTCGCGTAGCTAGACCGTTTTTGGAGGAGGGAGTGTGGGGTTTTCCTTCCTTTTTTTTTTTTTTTTCTTTTCTCTTTGTGATACATAAGTATAAAATTACAAAAGCATTCCCTTCGTTGCGTAGCGACTACTCACTAAAATATTGGCATGAAATCAATTACTTGTTGCCAAAATTATTGTACACACCTGCGTTTTTATCTGCGTACGGGTACTTAACCATCTGTCTGTAGACGGAAACTATAAGAATATCTGAGATGAACGAAATGGAAAACAATCTTATATTTCAACGTATGGCTAATTTTTTTTTTTTTTATATCTGATATTCTTTCTGTCACTGTAGGAAGAATATTATCAGAATATCTGATAAGAAAGGAAACGGAACGGTTTTTAAAAAAAAGTCATTAATGGACTGTCTGTTTTGGTGGGTTTTTTTTTTTTTTTTTCGGATGTGCTGAGGTTTTCATACTCCCGTGTCCGAGTTTTACCAGTTGCACATTTTAGTC